ACACACACACACACACACACACACACACACACACACACACACACACACACACATGTGCACACGCGCACACGCACACACACACACACACACACACACACACACCTCCTCCCTCCTTCCCACTCTACTCTCTATGCCTGGGGTTAGAAGACCAGGGCGAGGGGCGCCTGGGTGGCTCAGTGGGTTAAGCCGCTGCCTTCGGCTCAGGTCATGATCTCAGAGTCCTGGGATCAAGCCCCGCATCGGGCTCTCTGCTCTCTAGGGGAGCCTGCTTCCTCCTCTCTCTCTGCCTGCCTCTCTGCCTGCTTGTGATCTCTCTGTCAAATAAATAAATAAAATCTTTAAAAAAAAAAAAAAAGGAAATTAAAAAAAAAAAAAGAAGAAGAAGAAGACCAGGACGAGGGGACTCTGCCTCCTTACCAGCTGTGTGACATGGGACAACTCACTCAGCCTCTCTGAGCCTCCCCTTGATTAACATGAAAAAAAAGGATAATATCGACCTCACAGGCTAATTGTAAGAATGAAATAGAATCCTACCCCAAAACATTTTGGTAAACAATAAAACACCCAGCACATATGGAGAACAGCTGCTTTACCCAGAGGGCCCTTCTCTTAAGATTAGGACTTCAGCGTGCTTGCCCAGCAGCAGTGGGTACAGGTTGTCTTTCTGGCCACATCTCCACCTTCAATGACATAAGCCACAGCATAGCACAAACTGACACCAGGTTATAGAAGGGGATCTCTGGGAGCATCATTCCCACCAAGAGAAGGGGGCCACTCCCACCTGCATCTCTGCACTGACCTTGGCTTTCTCCCTGATCTTAGGTACAAAATGGAGAGGAGCCCTGACCCACTGGTAAGCTGTCTGGTGCTCCTGCATGCTTTCTCCCAGCCGCTACAGGTTCCCCGTCTATAAAACGAAAATCGGGCTGGACCAGTTGTGTTCAAATCACGTTCCTCTGATTCCCCAGGGGTGCCCAGGATGCTGCTGTCGGGACTGATAGGCAGATTGGATGGGAAGGCCCCCCAACCTGCTTTAACTGAAGCTGCTTATCTGTTGTTTTCTCTTTGGGGTTTCTGTGATTCCGTTTGAATAAGGGGATCCTCCCGATTTTTCTTTCTTAAGTTCAAATCACTGGGTGACCCGCTCTGTCAATTTCCCTTCCAGCCCCGATGCGGCATGCATCTGAGGTCCGTTGGGCTGACGGGGTCTGAGAAATAGCACCGGCACCGGCATGGGTCTTCCCAGGACCTCTTGGGCCTCATTTCCCACTCTCCTGATGCCCCTCCACAGCAGCTGAGCTGTGACAAAGGTGGCTTGTGCCACAGCCCACAGATCCCAGGGTCAAGTCGCTGACCCACCCTTAATGCCATCGTGACTCTGTGGCTCATCTTCCAGACAGGGTCCTATTCCCAGTTCCCCAGACAGGGCCATGTGCTCCCACCTCGAGGCTTGTGCCTGTTCTCACCACCGGGCATGTCCTCTTTGGCTACACATTTTCAAATCCTACCCTCTCTTCAAGGCCCAGCTCAAATCCCACCTCCTCCAAGCTTTCCCTAATGCACATCCCTCTTTCCCTCCTGCCAGATCCAGGGGTGAGCGCTCCTTTCAAGCTCGCTCAGGACATGGTCCTCATCACGTGACCCCTAGGATTGCCCTTTTTCTGTGTGTCTCTCATAGCGATCTATTTCACTTCCCCGCCCCCTTCGGTACCTTGACCACAGTGGGGCAAGGGCCGGTGCTTGATACTAATTTGTTGAATGAGTGAGTGAGTGAGCCAGATGGAAGAGCCATCACAGGGTAGGAAACCAAGTGGGTGGAGAAGCGTTCCTTCTGCCAAACTTCTGCCTGGAGATGCTGAAGGAGAACTATATCCTCAGACGCCCTGTTCAGATGGATGGCTATTCTTGGGGAGAAAATCAGCAGCCTGACATGAGGTCACTGGGGGAAACAGAATCCACCGTCCCCGGGATCGGCTCTGTACTCCAAAGCCTCAGGACTAGGCTTTCTCGCTCTGCACGCTAGACCAGCGCCCAGCACAGGGCTGACTCAGGACAGAGCAGCTCCTCGTGGTGACCCAACAGGCTTGCTGGCTGGGCAGCCGGAGGACCGTGCAGACAGCTGCACTCTCTAACACACAGGTAGTCAACCTGGATTTGGGTGTCAGACACATCTGAATGCCAGCCCCAGAGCTGCGCTTTGGACGGCTCTATCACTTTGGGCAGATTTCCGAAGGTTTCTGGAGCCTTGGTTTTCCATCTGCAAAAACAGCAATAGATGAGTCTAGGTCTTATATGGGTATTGGGAGGATGAAAGAGGGCGCTGCCTTTGGGCAATTTATTTAGCCCCGTGCCCGCCAAACTCAGTAAGCAGTAGCTGCTGCTTTCTCTTTATTATTACCATTCTAGCTGACGCTGCTCACTGACAGCACCGGGATGACATCAGGTGCCTGGTCACATGATGCCTGCTCCCCACCCCAGGGTGGCTCTCCGCCTAAAGTCCCATCATCTCTAAATCATGGGAGGAGATTCAACTACAGTTTGTCTCATCTTTGTCTCTAGTTGTTCAACTGACATAAGCCCAATCATCTTAACTCTAGAATAGACCTATATCTTGCGTCTTTTTTTGTATATCCTTTTCTTTTTGCAAAAGCATGCCGAGCAAAGCACACCTAGGTGAATGAATGAATGAATGAATGAATGAATGAATGGGTGAATAG